GGTCCCCGCCCCTCTCTGGAGCCCCGGCAAGGCCGAGCCACACTTCCCGCCCCGCGCTGGAACCGCATCAGAGTCGGGGTCCAGCCCCGTCCGGGGCAGCTCTTGGCACCCTGTGAGGGACCAGGCCTGTACGGCCCCCCCAGCTCATCGCGGATCCCCAGTTGAGAATCGCTGCCCTGAGAAGGTCGTGACCCTGGCGGTTTCTTCGGCAGGAAACGCCCGCTTCCTCGGCCCCGAAGGACGCTTACTCCAAATTGTTCCGAGGGAAACGTCCCACCACGGCGGCGTCAGACCGGACAAACCTCTTTCAAGCTGTGCGCCAGGCTGACCCTCTTCACTTCGGGTCATTAAGCAATTCAGGAGTATGAAGACGGTGCGTTTCTCAAGCGCCTGGTGCAGCAGCAGAAGTCAACTATTCCACAGGACGGTGAATAAGGAGCTTACGCCCCAGCCGTCATAAAGGGAATAGAAGAGCTGGCTGGATTTTACCTCGTCATAAAAGAACGTACCAGCTCCGATGGGGCACAGGCTACGTGTAAGTGGCAACGTGTTGTCAGAAGTAGCAACAGCGACTCCACAAATGCTGCCTGAACATGTGTGGCAAGACACGCCAGTGCTGGTTTAATCTGCCGCACGCCGGGAGCCAGCCACCAGCAAGAAAACGCCGCGAGGTGAACATGCGTACAGCAAGCAATTGTGGGGGGCTTAGAAAGTCTGGGAAAGGTTCGCCCAAAGAGCCTCATCTGCCTGGAAAGACTGTGAAACCATTCCAACATCTGTGCAGATATGTAATGTTTTATGAGTAGTCCAGGTGCTTTCATCAGTACCAAAAGTTCTACACTATACACAAGGCTTTAAAAAGTTAGAAATGCTATGTCCTCTTCAGTTCAGCCAGATTTCTCTGTTTTTATACAGTTCAAGTATTACGGGTCATCGCGTGATGTCAAACCACTGGTTCTGCTGTTTTAAGTTTTAATTGGGATTACAAGAGGCGAAGAAAGCCTCTATCAAGCATTCATTCGTCCCTAAGCTTTTTAAATATTTTCTTTACTGGCTTTTGAACACCTACCTGTAACCACTTGCTAAACACTTCATACTAAAGGGAATAAAATGTTCAACTAGCTTTGTTTGCAACAGTCGAGTTTTCCTCATTTGATTAAGTGCAAAAACATGCCCACACTGGTACTTGAATTTTATTAGCAAAACCCATTAACTTGCAATTGCCCAAAATTCCTCCTACTCCACAAGAAAGAACCATGTACAATGTAGAAGCTAAGGTGCGTTTCTCTTTGCACTTATTTCAGAAGAGCATTTAGAAAACAGTCTCAGCTGTGAAATAGAGAACCTCCTATTTGTGCATTGAGACACAAATACCAGGATTGATTTTTTTTAAGAATTTGTTTATTTAATCGAACCTGGGTCATATTTAGATTCACAAGCAATTTTAAATGTACATCTTAGAATTCAATTTTGAAGTGTTTCACACAAAAATATTGGCACACAACAGTTGCTTTAAGGTGCAACAAACACCTTTTCGAAGCACTGCTGTCAGCGTCTGCCCAAGGTTGGAAAAGTTTACTTGGAACATGAAAACCTGTAACAAATTTTAAATTAATTGTACAAAACTGTTGTGTGTTACTTGTAGAGCTTCTCCCTTGAAAAGACCATACCCTACCCCCACCCCCAAAAAATAAGATTACAACTAATATACATCAGTCACAACATAATCCTGGCTCAGCACCCACACCAGACGCTGCTTTAATTTTTCAAATCCATTATCAGATACCAAGAAAAGAAAGGAGTTGTTTATACAAAAACAAAAATCCACATGTGCCTGAAATAAAGAAAACACACCAATACTTAGCATTATGCTAATTATGACCAGATGATGGCAAAGAATGCCACTTAAATTAAAATGTAAGGGCTGCATAGCATTGCAATATACCTTCAAGAACCATTAACCCTTTGGCATCAGGAACCCACATTTCCTGAGCACTAATGCATTCTGCACTAGTGCCAATAGTAAAAGCTTTGGACCTGAAAACACCAAGGGGCTAATAACTACGGCTTGCCAAGACACTGCACACAATTGGCTCTGCTAGTTAGAAACCTGTAAAAGACTAAAACCACATGATAACCGTCTGATAATAAGAGCAGAGAATGTATTGTAATATCAATTTCTTTAATTAAAAAAAATGTAGGGAACAAATCAGTGTAGTTAAGATAGTTACTGGTTTTGTTTTGTTTTTTTACAGTAACCAGGTATGCATACTATAGTGGAGTTCTCAGCTGTCTTCTATTCCTTATCAGAATAAAGTTCTGTTTCGTTTGCTCCTTCTTGGCAGTACATGGAAGCGAAGAGGGGTTTATTTTGATTCCATAACATCTACTGCAGAGTTAAAGATACGAAGAATGCAAATAGTCATGTTAGGGCCATGTACCGTTTCCCTAGACAGAATTGCAATGGATTATGAAAATAGAAAACACAAAAGTTAGAAAAGGACAGTAACATTGCTTATTACTACAGGAGAATTATAGCATTTGCAGTCTGTTGGACCTCGCTTAGCATACAGACTAGGCAGAGTTCAAGTGAAAAAAAAAATTATGCCAATTAAGTGACAAGAGATTTGAGCACAGCTTTTGCTACAGAAGATATATAAAACCATGTCATTTTAACTAGGAAGGAACTTAAGCAAGTTTTATAGTTCAGAAAAGAGGGTTTAGAAACTAAGTGACTTTTTTGTGACCAAGATGTTTTGGTAGACGGTGAATTGAGAATTTGGGATCAGAACAGTTTTCTTAAACAACTCTTCGGACTTCAAAAAACCTCTTCAGGTAGTAGATTTGTCCCAGTGTCATGGCAACTAGTACAAGGGCTTCAAAGAATGACCAGAGGACCACTCTGCTGTTTGTGTTGTCATTAACTGTTGGAAGAAAAGAAAAAGGAACAGAACAAGTATATGACTAAAACATTTAAAAAAGCCTGGTGTAGGACACTTCTCTAATGTCTACCAACCTTTAAAAGGCAGACATGAAAAAAAAAAACACACTGGGAAGACTGTGACATGGTAGAAAAAGGTTAAATCCAACAGACATGTTTTGGGACTTCTATCATAAAACTGCAGCTACTGAAGGAATTAAGGCCAAAAAGTAGATGTAGTATTTGCTAATACAATGTCAGCTCTCATTTGATTCACACTGTTCAGAGGGCAGAAATTTTCAAGCTAAAACTCAAAATCACAAATTGCAGCATCTGCATAAGAACACCTACTAACAGACTTGCTCACGTTGTATGGCAGCTGTACCTAGTACCTTACTTCAGCTATATTCCTCTACCTTCTCCCTTGCCTTCTAAACTAGGAATTACTTTTTTTTTTTAACCTCAAGGTCAAGCTGGTATACCAATTCACTCTCTCAGGGACTAGTGTTTGCTCTACAGACTTAGTGTAGTTTCCAGTAATAATAATCATAGAAGAACAAGGGAAATATAGCCATCAACCAATAAAAGCTGGTTGGTATGCAAATGAATTAATGCATAATTTGCTGTAAATATCATGTCAAGAAGCTGTCACCTTCATGCAATTTGTAGACTGGTGTCATCTTGTAAAAACCAAGCACTTGCTGGCTTCATATTGTGTGACACATGATTTGCCTATTTAAAACATTCATAGTCATACAGCCTAATGTTATACCATCTAATTTCTATATCCTCTTAAAAAAGGGGGACAGGCACCATCACAAAGACAGCAAATGGATAGGGCTCTCAGCAAAGTCATAATGCTTTTACAGAAATCACTGTTGTCTGCATAAAACACCAGGATACACTTTTGCTGCCTATGCAATTCTGCACATGGACTACAAGTGTCAAAACCAATGTACAGCAATGCAATAACAGACAAATTTAACTGAGCTAGTCTAAGCAATGCCCTCTCAAACTTACTCTTGATATTTTCCCCTAGCTTGTGCTTATGCTTTTCTTTATGAACTGCCTAGCGAAGGAATTTTCAATCTCCCTGCACGAGGGGAAGTCTGTATAAATATACAGAGCATATTTACAAATTCAGCACTAATCCAAGTGGTGGAAAAATAGCTCCCTCTTTATTTGCGCCAGGCTTATTCTAATGTGTTCCTTAGCTTAGCACTAGCAAAAGTGAAGACTGGATCATACCATGGCCCAAACCTTGTTCACTGTACTTGTGAGAAGTAAGAATTTCACTATCAAAAGGACTACTCACAAAATAATTTGGCCAACTACAGTAAGCCCACTTTGCTGTGCTGTATTTCAAGGACAAATAGATACATCTGTCCAAACCCTTCCACCAGGAAATAGGTCACTTGTTTTCAGACCTTCAGGAACCTGCCATTGCTAACTATGAATAGTTCCTGCATTACCTTTCAGATGTTGCACCACAGGAGCAAATCCATTTTTTTAATATTAAAGCACCTGATTTAGCAAGAAGGTCTCAATGTGTCATGATGATGTCTCTTTCATTAGCAAGAGGAGGACCTTTTTCAGAACATTGTCAAACTCTCAAATACCTGAGGTGGTTTCTTGATTGTTTCCCTAAAGCTCAACATCTTCTACCATGCACAGCAGGTTAAAGGATTAAACAGCATGCAAATCAAACAGAAACACATACTTGCTCTATGTATTCTCTCACGAACTTCCATGTATTCCTGTTCATGCTTTACAGCCGTCATGGCCACTGCTAACTCGTTAATCATCTCTTCTAGCTTGTTCTGATGAGCTGCAGAATAATTCAAAAGGTGTCAGAGTTTGTATCATAGAGATCCCTCCTTCCCCCCCCCCCCCCCCCCACCCAAAAAAAAACAAAAAAAACAAAAACAATCCTCCTCCTGAAAGTAGATGAACAGGTATATTTGACTCCATACTACACTCAGGGTCCCCCTACAGCAGAAAGCTTTCCACCTTGTAGCAAAAAGAATTCTGTAAAGATATCTGTTGACGCTAATGGGAATGATACTTCTATGAACCTTTAATATTCAAAGCATAGTTCGACCAATTTCAAACTATCTTTACAATCCTATTTTAAGTGGACCACTTTCTCCATGATGTCTAGCTTGGAGATGAGAGCAGAGGCAAGTGTTGTTAAAGTCAATACTGACAGGCTGTCCGTAGTACAGATATACTTCCAGAGAAGCAGAGTACAAAATTTAACCACATGGAATCAATTTAATATCATGCCAGTTAGTGCCTATCCCATAAAATTATCTTCAAATAAATAATACAGAATTTTAATGCTACCTTCCCGATAGCACAGTGACTAACAATTTAATTCAATTCATGATGGTGTCTAAACAAAATGAATTTCTGAAGATACACACTTGGCTACCTCTCTGACCTTTGTTTATAGTGGATACATGAGGTACAAGGACATTAGTGCTCGAGAAAAACCTCTGTCTTTTCAAATTCAGAACACTGGCTTTGGATGCTTCAGCAAGTGAAAGAATCAGGAGATCCAGGATTCAGGGGTTTACCTGGTCCACAGTTTAATTGTTACTTGCCTTCACTCCTCAGACTAACAGCCAACTCTATAAACATATAGACTGTGGAAACTTATATGAGAGTTTTCTAGCACCAAGAAGAGTTTCCGTTCACTGATTCAGAGGCTCTGAACTCCACTACTAACTATTAGAATAGCCTATAAGCAACGTATAGGACATTTTTTGTTTTGTTTTTTGGGGTTTGTTTGGGGGGGGGGGGGGGGGGGGGGGGGGGGGAAAAAGATGA